ATTGTTTAGTGAAATTTGATAACGATTTGGTTTAGTGTACAATTCTATGAATTCGATAAGTAGTAGATAATTACAAATGATTGTTACTTACATATTAAGTGTTTTCAATTATGTAAGTTATGTTCTAAATCAAACATTGCATATCACTCACTGTATAGTTAGTTTTCCAGACTTAAGTAGTTGAAGTAGTTAGTATAACTGCCTACATGTTGGGTAATTGATTACCCTAAACGTTTAGTCCTGATTCTATAGATATATTATAGTGAAGGAGAACACCGGTGAGGGCAACCGAATTGTATTTAACGAAAATTACAGAGTTACTCAGTAAAATAGGAAAACCATATTGTAAACGGTTAATTTGCAAATCTTCAATCCATTGTCTGACATTTCACTATTCATGCGTTTCATACAAATTCCATTGTGTGTTCCCACTCTTCCTTTCTTGATCTTCCCCCATCTTCTGCTGCCAGACATTACGTTTACACTCGCGCGTCATATATTACTTATAAGTAGCGCACACCACAATATTTACACTTCTGAGCGATCATTATAAAAGGCGCATATTAGGATGTTGATTAGAAAATATGTCAAGGTTTTAAACTATCTGGCTTATAAACAAACCAATGATTAGTTTATTCATGTTTTTATTTTACAATGATTTACTCTTAAAATGTCATAATTGAAATATTTGTTTGACATCACATTGAATAATGATAGATTGGAATCTTACTCATAACTTTATTTGATACTGTTGGAGACGTTAGATCCCCAGAACTCACCTGCAAAAGTTCCTGATTTTGGTTTTTTTTATGTTTTCGAGCATAAGCTGCTCAGTTGATCTTGAGATCATATTTCCCATCCATAGAACCCTTGACTGTTATTGGTTGATGTTTTTTATTTTAGTACGCTGTTTTTGTAGCTCTCCCAAGGACGTTTCTATCATGTGTAAATCAAAACTCGATTTGTATGCTTGTGAACCTCATATTTTCTAGGTGCTTGTAGAATAATGCACTTTCTACCCCATAACAAGACTTCTTCTTCCACTTAGTGGGGCCTTGAGACGCTCGAATTAGAGTAGCCTATCGTGTCACTGTATCACTGCGTAAGGTGAACTCGTAATAGCATTCAGGCATATCAATTGACGGGCATATCAAATACGTATTAAAGTCATCTCAAATGATTATCAATCAGAAGAATATTTAATTAGGCTGAGCAAAGCTGGCAGAAAAATTTTCCCATAATTGTTTATCGGCATTCTTATGTGTTATCTGGGAAATTACCCGAACACACAAACCGAAGTACATGATTATTTAGAGATTTTTCACCTTGGGGGCCTAATCCGCATAACACTGCATCAGGGTCAGGAAAGACAGTACCATAGTAGCCGGTTCATAAACCAGTCGTTCTCATAGGAGCTTTGGTCCTAGGCTGGGAGAAAGCTTGGGGCAGTCAGACCGAAATATGGCACAAATCCATGAGGTCACTAACAACTGAACTTAGCCATATTAGTAATTGTAGATTATGTGGTTAGTTTCCGAGAGGCAATCGTAAACGACTGTTAGATACTCTGTATGACATGGCTGAAAATCGTTTGTGATGGCACAGGTGCATTCATTCTTAATAATTCCTTGAATTCTAATCTTGATTCCTCATGACTGTGTTTTCTGTTTTTAAAATTATTTCACTGGATTATGCTTCTCAAACAATACCTTCGATCACTAATCTTTTCGATTAACACTAATACTTCTACTATGGCGTTTAAATTGACTGTTCGTTCTCTGTATTAGTGTGCTATAGCAACTTGGACTGATGCACTTACGTACGTACGTACATAATTCTACATTGTAGCTGACTGACTGAGATCAATGTGCTTAAGATCCAGTAGTGGATCCAGTACATTTCTTTCTAATCTATTCGCCTTTTAATTTCCAATTAAACTATCTCATACACACATCAAAGCGAGATAGACAGAAAAAAAATAGCTCCAGTCAATAATATTACTCTAAACAGTATAAATGAATCATGTTTTAAATAAACATGATTAAGTATACCATTTATGCGAAGAAAATCTTTCTTATATTTACTTTGTAAAATTTGCACTCATTTTTACTAATATATATATATATATATACCACTTATGTGTATATATGGATTATGTAAATTTCTGCTATTCGATTCTGAGTAATCTTATTTAGTAATCATCATATATTTTAGAACACACATTCTATGCCTATATAAGTGGTGTAGGCTTTTAGATGTTGACTAATCAAAAGATATGTATTTTTAACACACACAGAGAGAGATAGTGTGTGTGTGTGTATGTGTTGGTTAAGAGTTTTGTCAAAAGTTTCAATTGAAACAGGCATGTAACAGATGTTTCATGGTCGTTCTTGCTGCTATTGTGAAAACTAGTAACCGAATTCGATCTCTATGGTTTTTTTTTCTTGTTTGCTTGAAAAATTCAAAAGTTTATGCATAAAAATGCACCGTTTTACTTACTTGCATGTTCATTACAGGGGTTGTGAAGATTAGTAAGTTACACATTTTTTTGAAACCATGAATCGATCAATGTTAGACTCCAGTGCTTCCAGGTTTCTAATGGTGGTCTAACATTACCAATCTTCACAACCCCTGTAATGAAAATTACCTGTGCTCACTAGTGACTAGCTTCGTGAGGAATCTTCTCCGAGTTCTAGTGGGAAGACGTGACCAGTAAAGTTCAACCTGTTCGGGTGTAGACATTAACTACCGAGGACTGTGTATGAGGTTGCGCAACTCCGTGAGTTGATCAAGTTATACATTAAAACCATTAGATACCGGCTCAGTGATCCGATGGTTAGGCGTTCGCGCACAGTACCGAAGGTCCTGGTTCGAATCCTGCGGGGTGCAGAAGTCGTGGATGCGCACTGCTGAGGAGTCCCATACCAGGACGAAACGGCCATCCAGTGCTTCCAGGTTTCTAATGGTGGTCTAACATTGATTGATTCTTGGTTTCAAAAATGTGTTACTTGTATGTGTTCAAATTCTTGTTTAAGAAAAAAAATGTGTTTGTTGAGTAAAAATGTTCATTTGACCATTTGTCCATTGCTTTATTTTTGAAGACAATCAATTATGAGTAGCAAAGTGTTTTTTAGTGTCATTATGCTTGTATACATTGGTTTGTGAGTAGCGCTCTAGTCTATGCGATAAATTATACTGAAGAAATCCAATATTCATTATATTTTCAATTAGAGTTATGGAGATTAGTGTTTTTACACATTTGAAATCATCAATCAATCATTGTTAGACCAGCATTAGACAGCCGTTTCGTCCTGTATGGGACTCATCAGCAGCAGTGCGCATCCACGACTCGTGCATCTTGCAGAATTCGAATAGTTTTCTCACCTAAATTCAATTACCAGAGTGTGGTAGAGTTAAACAGAAAAAGTATTCAGATGACATTTATCTGGAATAGGCATCAGTTAGATAAGAGTAACTAGACAACTATGTCGTTGTTTTTGAAAACGACTCGGCAGCGCCAGTGGTCGGGCGCAGAACCATCAGATCTCACAATGAACACTTGACTATTGAGTCACTGAGCTGGCCTATCATTGTGCATACATGCAACTGTAATTAACTTGTGATACAGTATGGCTGTTATCCTAATATCTTTTTGTCGGAAGTTGTAACTGATAAGTTCTAAAATATATTAAAAGTCAAGTTTTCGCTACTGATAAATACTCTATATCGCAAATTAGTTGAAATTACAAGTGTTTACCATTGAATGGTAATGTCACTTTTTAATAGTTGAGCACCCAGTGCATAAACATGAAGGTTCTGTGTGTTCACTGTCCAGGCTTAGGCGAAACAGTTGCTCAGTGCTTTCTGGTTTTCTGTGGTTTCCCAATTAACGAATGTCAGGTACGATTACACGAGTTTTCAGAAAACCATCCGACGAAAGGGAAAAATGTAGTAGTAAACTGCAGCAAAGTAGTGAGTGGTTACGAAGATTGGTCATTAGAATAGAACTCGAACTTGTGACTTTGTGGAAGTGTTGATTAAACACCGTCGCTAGTAAATCACCGCTTCTAACTATTCTTTTTATCTCTAAAGATTTGATTCAAACTACCTAGTTGGGGTCCGCGAGATGATGGTAACCGATATTTAGAGACCTTTAATGAGATATGACTCAAAATCGCTTGTAAAGGGCACAGGTGCATTCATTCTTTGTCATCTATCGAATTCTAATCTAAATTCCTCACAACCTTCATCTTTCTCTCCTCAAATCTATTTCATTGAATTACACTTCTTGAATAATATCTTCGAACCGTTACGTTTGTGATTACTGCTCATACTTGTACTACATGTACCACTATTGGATTTGAAGTGACTACTGCATCTCTGTGCTAGTTCGGTATGGCACCTTGAACTGATGTACGTACGTACATACGACTGACTAAAGTGTATTTAGTTCATATTCATAGTAGTACCTATGATTTACTTTTGATCTTTATAGTTTCAAATTGGTATGGCATAAATGTTACTGAGTAGTAATAGTAGTATATTTAACTTACAATTAATAATATGGATAGTTTTTTTTCGTTAAACAAAGGAAAGTATCCAGTTTTTTGCTAAACACACTAGAATTCTAATACACAAACACAACAGAGACACAAATTACATACCACCATTCTATGATGTATTAGTAACACATAGATTTTTTATCTAACAAGTTGATAACGTTGTTGTTATTGTTGTTGCAGTTCATTATTTTCAAAAATTGAATATCATATTCAATTTTCAATGAATTGCTTATCTAATTTATTCTGTCTAGACAATATATAAATTGATCGATTGATTTTTGTCAAAAAACAATGAAACATTGAACGCGTGTAAGATCTGTACAACAAAACGAGTTCCTTCACACTAAATAAACAAGGAATAAGCACTTCATTTTTTCATGTTTTTTTCTAATGATCAATTTGAGTTGATCGTTTTTCTATTGTCAATTTCTTATTTAGGTCTCAGAAATTCCATAATTTTTTAAAAGCATCCTTGACAAAAAGTGAAAAGAAACGACCAACAGCTCAAGCTTTATTACGTGTAAGTGTTATGTAGTTAAAGTGATTTATCGTAATAAACTGATTGGAAATTAATTTATTCGATTTTAAACGTTCACATTTTTTAATGAAGCTTTCAATTAAATTACCCGATCTTAGCTTCTACGCTGACGTGGTCGTCAGGCTTGCCTATCGTGATGACCCAACTGAGCTATATTGGCTGGAACATATGTTCCTGTAGATTCCACCATGCCAGGCAGGTCGATTGGAGGACGACGAGACTACTGAAGGTCTGAGGGCGAATTCGCACTGCTGACTGTAGAGAGGTAAAAGCGGTAAGGTGTTCCCCTCAGACAATCAGCATCTGCAGCGATGCTGCGGTCACACTCACCGGTCTCTAAGATCAACAATAATCTACCTATCTTTTCAGGTTCTTCAAGACTTACCCTTCTATGGTGTGGGCAGCCGGGAAGTGACATCCGCCTTCATACCCGTAACAACACACGAGATCAAATTGGTCACAAACAATCACATTAACAAAACTCATATTTTAAACGGAACATGTTGCATACTTATCCGACTTGAAGTGTTGTGTGTTCTATCTTGATGCAGAGTAGTTGAGCTGTACCGTTGAGTTAGTTGATATTATTATTAATCATAGATTTATGATTTAGATTAAAGGGAAATTCCCCTCATCATTCCTACTCGAATTACATTTCATGGTGATCTATCTACATTTTAGTATTTGCGTTAAATTCGACGTTGCGCTCATCACTTTAGTAGTCCTGTGATCTGACTCCTTTTTAGATGGGCAGTCAAATATGCTATGAAATAAATCTTTCATCTGATTTCCGTATATCATATGTAGATGTTAGGGAAAAAGTCCATATTTTGTAATTTATTTCTGAAATCTTTGAATTTTTGTGTTTTCGCGCCAAAGACGCTTGGCGAACCTTTAGCTTACTTTTCCCACTAGTAAAATCCTTCATTGTCATTGGTTGAGGGATTATTTTAGTACGCTGTTTTATGTCTCTCACCAAGGGCGTTTCTATCATTGTATGAATAAGCTTGAGTTGCACGCTTGGCAACCTCGTATTTTCAGGTTGCTTGTAGAGTAGACTTTCTACGTCTTGTCAAGACTTCTTCCTCTACTTAGTGGGGTCTTTGGGCGCTCAGATTAGAGTAGCCTGTCATGTCACTGCATCATTTGTCAAGCATATCAATATGTGAACCCCGTTTTTGCGACAGCGGTCTTATGAAACCAAATGCAGTTTGTGGATGAATTTATTTCATGCATTTATATAAGCGTACAGACAAGAGTGAAAAGCTTAACAAACTAAACGAAGCGAATTGGAGAGATCGAGTAAGCCAACTCAATGCGATGAAGCATGACTAAAATAAGCTAGACATGTTGTGATAATCAAAGTAGGCAAGCACATACACACACTCAAGCAACGAAGGTTGTGAGGAAATAATCGACAAGATTGAAAGGTGTATGCATAACGATTCGAAAATAGTGGAAATGATCGATTTGTTGGAAGGCTGGGGCAAGCCATTTGGGCTCGACATATTTGTACACATACCAAATACTCTAAAGCTTATGTGTTAGTGTTGTATCAGTACTACGTCAAACAGCAGCTGTGTGATGTCACCATGCTAATATTTACATAGATGCCGCAAACTTTCTTCACCACTATATTGAATGTATGTATATAATTAAATTACATAACTAGAAACATTGAATTACTTTATGTTAAAGAAGGATATTGATCCATGAGATGGAACTTCCCCTACTGGATAGTTAAGCTTTCGGTTTCAATTTGATTCATTGTCACCTCTCTGTTGCTTCGATTATTTTGTAGCCTGGCTGGTTGTGTCAGGTTGCTTTTAATACTGTGCCATGTGGAATATGTGTGTAGACAATGCTTACTTTCTCATCCGTTTCTATTGAAATGGCTAAGTTCATACTTTTACTTGTTACTGAACCACATTGCAAGGGATTCATATTCTATCTCCACTAGATTATTCGAAAGAAGTAATCTTACGTGATTGGAAACACTGAACAAGGAACTTTCAAATAATTGATGGTCCTTGTGGATTGAGAATTTTTCATCACCCATTTTCACAGTTTGACATATCATGTACTCTGAGCTATGTTAGTTTAAACGAACCACTTGTTAGGTATCCTATTGGCTTATCGAGACCACCGAACACAAACTTTCATACTACAACAGTTGACAGAATTTTCACCTTATTGATAAAGTACATTCTATTGATGGTAATATTGTAACACATACTAATATTGTATTGTACTTTGAAATCTTACACTTTATTTTATCCCATTGGTATTAATTGTCATGATGAAAAACGAACATTCAGGTCATATGTGCTTCATGACCTTTTCATAAAAAAAAAACACATTTCCTTTTTAATTTTTACTTTTCTTTTTTCTTGGTTTAAATGTCAAGTGTGGAGCTTTTCTTTGCCGTTTGTTTCTTGCTTTTTAATTTCGGCAATTTCATTTGGTCATTAGGTGGTAGTTGACGAGTTAACTTTATTCACTTGGCGATGCCCTTAGGTTGTCTGTTCATCTTGGCCACCCTTAGCTTTTTTGCAACCTATTGCTACATCGAAAAACAAAGCTTGACGAGGCAGTTGGTGGTTAGGCATACGCATATGCTGCTTCGTAGCTATTCAATCCTATCGACATCCGAATTCAAATATTCCAATACGATCCAAATACTATGCCCAAAATCTCCTATATATCAGAACGCAACACCGCTGGATAGAGTTGTTCATTGGGTCGAGTACAGGAGAGAGGTAGGCAGGAAGGAACGGTTTCCTGAAGTCTTACAGATAGTGCGAATTTATACATTTAGGTCGAATAGGAAAGAGCATCAAAGTCTGTGACATTGACAGTTTAGGACGACCAATAGGAAAGAACATTTGAAATGATATTGACAGTTCGGGTGACCAATAAGAGACAACATTAAAGTATTTGACTTTGACAGGTAAAACGACCATAATTTTGACCAATAGGATTATACTTCCAAAAATAGTACTCTTAGGATATTTGGTGAATATCCCAACAAACACATATCCCAACTACCTCAACTGATCAAGTTTCAATACTTCATCTATAAATCTGCCACCCTTACCTAGGACCCGTTTCCTAACGGCAGCATTGCTTAATTGGTTGTCCCATGATGCATGAGCAATGCTTCGGAGACACCTCTGACTGGCCATATTTCACAGCCATGAAGTAGGACAGAGCGAACTGCTGCGTTGAACACTTGTCCTTTGGTTAGCAAACGGATATCTTGTCTGCGCCACAAGAGCACACGAGACCAAATTGATCATAATCAATAGTCGAGTATGGTATTCCATATATATATACAACTGTCAATAATCGTAGAATAATCATAATAATCTTCACATCTAATATTGTTTTTTCAATTGATTTTTCTCCATAATTTCCTTTTCCAGCATGAATTTGTCAATCAACCACATTTAACTAGATTATTAACATTGAAATTATTAGAAACGAATCGTAATCCTGATATTGTTGGTAATAATAACAACAACAACCGTGTATCACCATCTACTCGTCCAGCGAATGATGTCATCAATCAACCAAAGTCAAATGTTGTTACACGTCCAGCAGAAGCAGGCGGAGTACGACAACCACAGCATCAGCAACAACAAGAGTATTCTGCATTGTTGGCTGGTCGACCAGATTATCCTATGGTAATGAATAAATCACCTGTACCACTGAGTCCGAGTGAAGAATGCAAAGTAAGCAAGAAAAGTGTGATTGACTTATTGTGTGTGTGTGTTTAGCTCGCAGTACATTGCAATACATTTATCAATAAGATTATTTTCTAATACTTCAAGACAAAGCGACAATTTTGTTTGATGCTGAATTCTGTATTTTTTTTCCGGGATTATTATCTCTAAACTTTTTTTATAGGATCGTACACTTGTTCAACCTCAGAACGTAAGTAGTACATGTGTGATTGTAACTGTGTGTATGTATGATTACAGTACTTTATCTACCATACACAATGTCGTTCTATACATCTAATCTTTTTCGCTTGATGATGGCTGCTGTATCTATCTATCTATCTGTAAATATCTGTGTATGTGCGTGTGTGTGTGTGTGTGCTGAGACGGGCACCTTTGCTAAGCTAAAGAAATTTCACGACCATTGCTTATACACATTCGATGAAATCGTTAAAAAAGTTGTGAAACATTACATCTCATCATTACATAGTTCATTGCTTGTCGTCTTAGTATACGTAGTAGTAGTAGTAGTAGTACTACGTGGCATTTTTCTATTCAAATCTATGTGTATGTAGTTTGCATGCATCGGTCATGTGTTTGTATCCATGTACATACAGCTGATATATATATATATATATATATATTCGTAACACTGCACATGTATGCTATCCGTATATTACATACGTTATGTTGTCGCATGTCAGTCAGTATTGTATTTTTACTTCTATGACAATTATGTGTATTAGATGGTATCATTACACATTATTAGTAGTAGTAGCAGTAGTAGTATCTTAAGAGCATGCATATGTTTCCGTTTCATATTTTTTTCATTGACGTTTATAACTAATGTTTAAGAGTGTTTAAGAGCGGCGCTGATCACATATTATATTCATCATGATATATAGCTCCATAAATATTTGTGTGTAATGTATACTTAGTCTTTTTGAAAGTAATAGTTCTTTGTATGTTACTGAAGTTATTTATTAATTCATTCAAGTATTTGTGATCTTCAATTATCTAGGATGATGTGTGTGAAACATGGCCAGTAAGAGTGGAGGATATATTTTTTTGACTATTCGTATTAGATCATAGGTTTCTTCGAAATATATTGGCCGTTTTGCCTCGGACCATCGAGTAAGCAATTCTGGTGTTAGGAAATGAGTATTAGGTAAGGATGGTAGATTAATTGATGAATTAGTTAGTGGTTATCGGTTAAGGTAGTTAGGATATGTCTTACGTGTATGCCTAACCACTGACTGGCTTAATGAGCGATGCTGTCTAAAGTAAGGGTTGTGGCTCAGGTGCTCAAAATTGTTTGCAATGGCGCAGGTGTATCTACTCGTTGTGTTCTATGAAAGTCTAATATTCTGAATTCATCATCACTTCTACCTTTCTCTTTCTAAACTTATCTCATTGAATTATACTTCTTCGAACCCTAATCTTCTCTATTACCAGTAATATTTCTACTTTCTCTACCACCATAGGATTCGAACTGACAATTGCGTCTCTGTGTTAATGTGATATGACATCCTGAACTGGTGTACTTGCGTACGAATTTCTACGTTGTAACTGACAGACAGACAAACTGAAGGGATGTGTCTGAAATAAAGTTAGGAGCAATCAAACCATGACACAAATCAATGAACTGTGAGCCATGTTAGTAGCTGTAGATTACTTGGTTGGGATCCACGAAGCAATCATAATCGATAGTTAGACACTTTGAATGACATGGCGCAGATGCATCCACTTTTTGTGTTTACTCGAATTTTAATTTTCTGAATTCCTCATGATCGTTTCTTCTCTTTTTAAATTTATTTCATTGGATTATACCTCTTGAATAATATCTTCGAATCATTATCTTTTGCATGACCGCTAATACTTCTATTTCTAATACTTGGGGACTTGAATTGACGATTCGATCTCTCTGTGTGCTAATGTGTTATTGCGGCTTGAACTGATGTTGTACATACGCAGAAAGTTCTACGTTGTAGCTGATCGACCAACTGACTGGTTGATATTTTTAGCTTTGCTGGATTCAGTTCGTTCTAATTGTCTGAATGATATCCATACGTAAAACAGATTACATAAACTTGTACACTTAGTAAAATACACCAAATAGACAATTTCGAAAACATTTATACTATTTATTTCATATCTCACTATCTCACACCTAACGAATAAACAGTTATAAGTGGAGGATACAGTCCCATATACATGAATACACACACACACACACACACACACACACTCGCTTCTGTATGTTGTACACACAGATAACACTGTTCACATTTTGCAATTTTAAAAAGAAATAAGTTATATACTAGTTAAAGTTTGTTTTTGTACTAATTTTCTGAAATTGTCTGATTTTTTTTTCTATTTGTTTGAAATTGACTTTTACACTAACCTCTACTACTTATTAGAATCATTGTAGTACAATGTAACAACTATAACTATGCTGTTTAATTTGTTGAATCGGTTAAAGCTTTAATCTGTAGACTTTAAATTATGTATGCGGTAAGAATTGTTGTTGGGAAGTCTTTTGTTTGCTTTGGTTTGTTTAGTTCACTAAGCCAGTGTTTTCTTTGTCGGTGGAACGTTCGGTAGCGAAAAGTTAGTCTAAACCGATCTGAAAGCAACAGCCACACAACCATAGACAAGTAACCAGCTAATTCCTATGTAAAGAGGGTAAAGAATTTTCAATGGCTTTCATTTTTTTCTTTTGAAATGTGAATTGATGACAATGTTGTCTAAGCAGCAGGCAATGATAACTTCAAAATTAAGTCATCTAACTGAAAAAACACAATACCTCCGAAATTTTCAGCCTAAGCTACAAATATATTTCACCAAGCGCAAGACTGAAGGTCCCGGGGTTCGAGTCCTGAGAGATGCAGGAGTTGTGGATGCGCACTACTGATGAGTCCATCATCAGGACGAAACAGCCATCTTCCAATTTTCTAATGGTGGTGGTCTAACCAGGATTGATTGATTGATTGATAATTTCATTGTGTAATAACTGGAAGAACAAGATAGCTCTGAAATCTTCAGCCTAACCTACAAATATTAGCCATCATGCCTAATCTTGTGATAAGTGTCAAGAAAATATAAATCTTTTCATGTTTCACTTTGATAAAAACTTTAACTCATTTGATTTTCAAAAAAATATTAGTATACTTAATTCAAGTGTATACAAAGTATCGTCTTTTTAATAGCATATATTTAAACTATGTTGACAGTGATTCTTGTTCTCCGCTGTAAAACTTACTTGGTTCCATGCTACAATGGAGGTTTCGATGTTTTAGCTTTAACATGAACATACACGTGCTTGTATACTTGTTCGAGGGTAGACAGTAACTACTGAAGACAGTGTATTGGGTTGCGCAACTGTGTGAATTGATTGAAGTTAGACATTAACACCGTTAGATACCGGTTCAGTGGTCCGGAGGTTAGGAGTTTGCGCGCAAGCCTTAAGGTTTTGGGTTCGAATGCTGTGAGTTGCTGGAGTTGTGGATGCGAACTGCTGATGTGTCCCATACCAGGACTAAACGGCCATCTTTCAGTGCTTCCAGGTTTCTAATGGTGGTCTAACTTTGTTCGATTCATGATGTCAAATGTGTAACTTAAAAATCTTCACAACCCCGTAGTATATATATATATATATATATATATATATATACATGTTTGTACTAGATATAGTCATTGTGTTTTCTGGTATTGTGTGTTAGTTTTCAGTGCTTTGTAAAACAACAACAGTTTATGCCTATATATTGTAAGTTGTGTGTGTTGTTTACTGTGTCTCTCTCTCTCTCTCCGTGTGAATCGGCTCAGGCAATCGCTCTCGTTGTCGCCCCCATTTTATCCCATTTTAGATAAGGATATTATCTCTTTACAGATTCGCTATTCTCATTTGAAATATTGATTTATTTTAACTAAGCTATGACATAACCGTTTTGTAAATTTTCATATGGATGAAATATATTTCTCAGTTATCGTCTTTCTTATCGAGTTCATTTTCTACGTGATGCGTTCGTCAGCCCCTTGCCCCAACCTTCCTCATTTTATCCGGGTTTGGGACCGGTAAATCTCTCTTACTGAGCATATCTAAATTACTATAATTGATTGATTGAATGTCGAAGATGGTGAAATTTTCGGGACTTTTTTTTCTAATACCACTATTATTTATATGCTCCGATATATCTTTTATGTATGGTAGGTTGATCCGCTTATTGGTTCATGTACTTGATTTCGTTTCTGTTTACAATTTCGGTTGATGTTTTTTGATGAAGTTGCGTGGATAGCCGTTCTTTTGGAAGATAGTCATAAGATGTTTTTCCTCGTTTTTTAGTGCTCCATATGTGCTGCAGTGTATCTTCGCTCGCCTGAACAAAGTTTGTATTCTGTTGATTTTGTGAGTCCTTGTGTTGTTGCTATCGTAGTTGAGAATCACGTCTGTGTTGGTTGGTTTCCGAAATACTTGAGTTTCCAGTTTTCCTGTGTTAGTTTTGGTGATTTGTATATTCAAGAATGACAGACTGTTGTTTGATTCTTTTTCCATGGTGAATTTTATGTCATCAAAGACGTTGTTTATCTGATTGTAGATGTTCTCCAGGTTGTTCCGTTTGATAATGACCAGTGTATACAGTGGTTAATGTTTCTTCAAGACATGATATATTTTCCTACTGTAATAAAAATCGATGTATATACTTGGATACAAATTGACAATATTAATCAATTCTAGGGAGATAAATTTGAATATATTTTCTATGAGATTGATAGATTTATTGCATAATCAGATGAAACACAATTTTCAGTTGACATTCACTTTTTAGAATAATAATAGTAATAATAATAATAATATTGACTGTCATAAACACTGATAGCTTTAAATTATTCATAAATATGAGAAATAATTTGTACTGAAAAAATTCATTCCAATTTTTTAATTGAGCTAGTCCAGGAATTACTATAAAAACAATATGAAAACATATTGTCAAAATGTCACTTGAATGCTGTTTCTTCTGCTGCTGCCTGCTGATTGTAAACTGTTTATATGTGTAGAACTTATGGTGGTAGTTTTTGGTTCATGCCAATATGCTTGTAAAATTTCACTTCTGAGCTGGGGATATCTGACATCTTTCTCTTCATTGTTGTCGTTGTTGTTTCCGAAGGATCGTGATTCTCAGATCCAATTATATGTGTAAGGCGATTAGCGAATCGAATAGCTTTGTATGAGTGATCATCTTTTAATACTACTGGTCTCCTTCCTGATGTTTTCGGTTGCATTTTAGACGTGTTATGGTTTGATTCAGCTTTCATGTTATCCTTTTGGAAATAGATGAAGTTGAGGCATCATAAAACAAAGTTGTGTTCACATTGTTTCATTGCCACTCATTGTAGAATCGCTTTCTGTAAACAGTTGTACTCATAAACTTACAATGTTATCAGAGGTAGTTGACAGTGACAGCTATTGTTAGTTTTGTTATAGTTCGGTGTTGTATTTATCATAAAATAATAAGTTATCCGTTGCAACTAATAGTAACCGATGCGTTAGAGACCTTGAACGACATGACTCAAAATCGTTTGCAATCGCTCAGGTTCATTCATTCATTGTGTTCTCTCAAATGTTAATCATCTGAATTCCTCATCTTATCTGTCTTTCTCTTTTTTAAAGATATTTCACTGAATGATACTTCATGAATTGTATCTTCGAACCCCAGTCTTCTCCATTACTGCTAATACCATTACTGCCGCTACCATTATGGGATTTGAACTGATAGTTGCATTTGTGTGCTGATGAGTTATGGTAACCTGAAATTATGTACTGGTGTAAGAAGTTCCTCGTTGTAAATGACTAATTGCAAGTATTCGAAATTCTATAGTGGTAGCGATAGTAGAAATTCTAACAATAATGGAGAAGATTAAGGTTCAAAGATATGATTCGAGAAGTATTATTCAGTGAGACAAATTTATATAGAGTTGATAAGGAATTCAGAAGGTTAGGATTTGAGAGAACATAAAGAATGAATGCTAACGATTTTGAGCCATGTCATTCAAGGTCTCTAACCATTGGTGACATTCGTCTCGTGGACCCCAACAAGGTAGTCTGCATCTACCTCAGTCCACTTGTTGATGACTTCATGAATTTGTGCCATGTTTTGGTTTGACTGATGCTAGTTTTCTTCCAGCCTACTCTAACGACAGAAAACCTAGGTTGTCGAGTCAGTCGGTGGTTGGACATTCGTAACACATGTCCCAACCACCTCAACTGATGCAGATTCAATACTTCATCTATTGATTTGTCATCCCCTACCTAGTACTCGTTTCCTAACTATAGCATTGCTTACTTGGCTGTCTCACGATATACGAGCAATGCTTCGGAGACACCTATTCGAAGACAAGCGACCTACAAATGTCTTCTACTGTCACCGTCTATATTTCACATCTGTATAGTAGGACGGAGCGAACCGATGAGAGTAGAAGATACTCGTCGGTTATTGGTTTTCGATCATAGGTGTCTTCGAAGCATTGCTCGTATATCGTGGGACAACCGAATGAGCAACGCTGTTATTAGGAAACGGGTACTAGGTAGGAATGGCAGATCAATCGATGAAGTGGTGAAACTTCATCAGTTGAGGTGGTTGGGACAAGTGTTGCGTATGCCTAACCAGCGACTGCCTCGTCGAGCTTTGTTTTGTAGTGTAGGAATAGGTTGGGAGAAAGCTAGGGGCGGCCAGACCAAAACATGGCATAAATCCATGAAGTCATTGACGAGTGGACTTAGCCATGTTGGTAGATGTAGACTACCTGGTTGGGGTCCGCGAGATGATAATAATCGATGGCTAGAGACCTTGAATGAGATGGCTCAACATCGTTCGCAATGGCGCCGGTGCATTTATTCGTTGTGTTCTCTCAAATCCTAATCTTCTGGATTCTTCAACACCTCAAGTTTTTACTTTCTAAACTTATCTCATTGAATCATACTTCGTGAATAATATCTTCTAATCCTAACCTCTCCGATTACTTCTAATTCCCTTACTACCTCTTCTACTATTCGATTTGAATTGACAATTATATCTCTGTGATGATGTGGTATGGCGACATGAACTGATGTACTTACGTACGAAGTTCTACGTTGCAACTGACTGACTGACGGAGCGAACTGCTGCGCAGTACACTTGTCCTTTGTTTAGCAAACAGATATCTCGCCTGCGCTATAGATGACGCAAGTTGGCAAAAGCCAATCGAGCTTTCTGTATCCGTGCTGAGATTGCATCAGTCACCAGGCACTGATGATACTCCGGGTACGAAGTTCTACGTTGTAACTGACTGACTGCAACTAGTAGAAATCCATATTATATTACCATTATTATTATTATTATTATTATTATGATTACCATTACTCAAACTGTATCGCCCATTGTTTATCATTGTTTGATAATTTGTCACTGCTAGATTTTCGCTATTGTCTATTTATTTACTATGTTTGACACTTTTTATTTTATATTTTTCTTTCATTGGTTGCTTGAACAATAAATTCATGATTGTGGTGGAATTGTTGAGGCTATGAGAGAATATCTGGTCACTTCCCACTACGTATGCACACTTGCATGAATTCATTCCACTATTTTGTTTATCATTGTATTGATGATTTGTGTGTTACAGTGTTGATGCGGGTTTTCCCTCCTTTCTTTTCTTTAAAAAGTAACTTGCTATTACTACTACTACTACTACTATTTTGGGTTTTATTTTTCATTTTTATGATGTGTCAAAACAATTTGTCGATATTCATTTTTATAGTTGACTGGTTTATTTTTTAGCACACTTTTTTTCTCTCACTGGGCATGCTCTCTTATTTTGTGTTGTGTCTATGATATCATCGATCGCTGTTATGAAAATCTGCGTTCGTAAAAGAAAATTCTTAAGTTTCATTGAAATTATGAATTGATCATTGTTAAACATCACCAATGGAAACCTGTGGAGGCATTGGACGACCGTCTCATCCTAGTATGGGACTTTTCAGCACCTACTAACCCCGCTACCTGTAGTATTTGAACGTAGGACCCTCGGGACTGAGTGCGAATGCCTAACGTGTACAACCTCATCCTTTGTTTTCGGTAGTTACTACTGCCTACACCCGACCGTGTTGAATTCCACTCATCACGGCTTCTCATAATGCTGGTCACAAGTGTGCACAGTTTTGTGATTTTCTACATAGAGTTATGGTCGATTCATAGGTTCAATCAGACTACAACAATCTTCATAACTCTCTATCATGAAAAATTATTAATTTGTTTCATTCCCCCTCTTTTCTCTTCTCATAGTCATCTCAAACATCAATTGAGAATCAATCACCATCCAGTCATATTTCATCGTCTGATATAAAACGTACAGTCTCTTCAACATCATCGTCATCAGCATCAAATCGACCGGAACCATTAAGAAAAATGCATACACCATGGCAATCACAACTGCAACAAATCAAATCACAACAATCTTCACCAATTACAATATCAAAACCAAGCACCACTATTGCTGAAGTAATTGTACAAAAATCATCTATTATTACACCAATGGAACGTATCCAATCAGCTAGACCTCAACAATTTCTCATTGAACATTCTATCATTCATAGTAATAATAATAATAATGATAAACCTCATTCAACTCATCATCCTCCTTGTACATCTAAGTCAATATTAGAAGAGATTCGTATTATGGATGAATTGCCTACACCATTTCCTGCTTATGTTGCATCTGCACCAACGGCTACACCAGCGCTGAAACCGCCTGGATTAAATTATCACTTAAATCATTCCACATCAAAACATATTGAACATGTAATACAAAAAATGCCTACATCATCGTCATCATCATATTCTTCAAGTGTTATTGTTACTCAACCATTACATACACAAGTGACAAAAACCAGTGATGATTTATTATTATCGACCAATATTGTTGTTTCACATAAGAATGGTCATCATTTACCACCAGCACACCACCACCACCACCGACAACAACAACACCAACAACATCAACGTCGATCCTCCTCGAATAATTCATCGAGTATTTCATCAGCGTCCACATCACCACGTAGTTCATGTTCATCAAGTCAATTAGATTTATTAGATCCTGTATCTACAGATTTAACTTCAGAAAGTCGTCAAACAACTATCCTGTCTAATTCTAGTACATCTTCACCAAATTCACCTGGTTCTACAACAACAACATCATCATCGTCATCGGCATCATCAACTACTTCATCGGTTAGTACAGAGGCGGCTGTTGGTGATGATGAAGGTGTACGATGTAAAACTGATACTGATACTATTATTAATGGTAATGATGAAGTGGTAAACAGTGTAGTTAAACAACACGATATTAAAGAAGGTATTCAAAGGAACAACAATCATCAAGATTGTTTATCAATTACTGAGCATACTATCATACAAGATTCATTGGAAGCACGATTTTTACCAATTGACAATGAAGTAAGTTGTTTAGTAAATACTGAACTGATGTGTTTTTTTGTCAACCCTATTTCCAGAAATATTGAAATATGCTTTAGTTGTTTGTTTTTTTGCCTCAAAATATCACTGTCATACTCATACACACACACCAAGTATAAAGTCGTCAGTAAAACACCGACCTATTTGTCCCATTCTCGCTTCAGTTACAAAGGACTTCGTACGTACGTACATAAGTTCAGGTTGCCGTACCACCTTAGCACAGAGACGCAATTGTCAGTTCAAATCTCTTAATGGTAGAGATAGTAGAAGTATTAGTAGTTATTTGAGTAGGTTGGAAGAAATCTAGGGGCAGCCAAACCAAAATATGGAAGAAATCCATGAAGTCACTGACAAGTGGACTGAATCATGTTCGTAGATGTAGGCTACCTGATTTGGGTCCACGAGACGAAAGTCACCAATGGTTAGAGACCTTGAACGACATGGCTCAAAATCGTTTGGAATGGCGCCGGTGCATTTATTCTTTGTGTTCTCTCAAATCCTAACCTTCTGAATTCTTCAACACCTCTACCTCTGTCTTTCTAACCTTATCTCACTGAATTATACTTCTTGAATAATATCTTCAAACCCTAGTCTCCTTCATTACGATTAATACCTCTACTGTCTTTATCACTATATGGGATTTGAATTGACCATTGCGTCTCTGTGCTAATGTTGTATAGCAACCTGAACTTATGTACATACGTACGAAGTTCGACGTTGCAATTGACTGACTGATGTCAGCTTGAATTGATGTATGTACGTACCAATATTCAACGTTGTAACTAACTGACTAACAACAGATATTTCATTTTTAAATAGATAGGCATTCAAATTTCAATAATCCATTTTTGTACAATAGAAAGTTACAATGTCTCAGTCATTAATTGTCAAGGTATTTTTTTTTGACTATTTTTTAAGAGATAAAAAATTAGCGTTTTTATATTGTCTGATAATCATGTGTGATGTTTTTATGGTTTTTCTTAAGAAAAAAAATCAATGCAAGTTTTTAAAACTCTCTCTTTAACATTCAACCAATTTGATTATGGTTGATTTTTCCACAACAACAACGACAACAGCAAAAGTGATGATCACGTTGAAAATTTTCTTTCCGTATGTCTGTGTTTCTTTCTGTCTGTGTCTCTTTCAAAAAAAAACGAAACCACTGTGTATTAGAACGAAATCGATGAAGAAGAAGAAAAAAACTCAGTGTTTATTATAATTGAAAATTTACATAAATATTTAATTGAGATAATTTGTTCAAGTAAACATTCTTCTTATCCAAATGAATATTGACACGGATTGAGTAGAGGTGGAAAAGAGAGAGAGAGGAAGGGAGAGAACGGAGTACTAAAGTAAGCATTGGTGAATTTTTTCATTTTAACACTGGAAGTCGATACTACTACTTCTTATCAGCTACTGTTAGCTGGACTGAGATTGGATTAAAAGCATGTTCCATACATGATTGTGTTGTTGCACGCTGATTGGCTCTTTCGTATCCAATCAGCGCTAGCCGATAGTGGAGGAACATTCTAGAATCTTCTCATGTAAGAAAACTATAAATATACTAACGTTTTGGACTCGTCTGACTTCCATCTATGTAACCTTGTTATTGGAATATAATCTCTATTTCCTGTTTCACCGTGTTCTGATTTTGGGAGAATGTCTCAAATGAATTGGTGTCCGAGAATACTACTAAGCATTCGGAATAGCTGTGTTGTAATATGAAGAGAGAATTATAACACCTACAATATCTAATTCCGAAGAATCTTTAAACCTTTTTATACAATCACGAAAATTTTACAGCCTACCATGTTAATAGCTAGTGTTTATTGAACTCTTGTTGTTTAAGTTCTACTTTCAATCCAATTCTCCTTAGGTTTAACTTATCAGAGTAGGTTGAAAAAAAAGGTAGGGTCGGCGGCCGAACGAAAACATCCATCAAGTCATTGACAAGTTGACTGAGTCGACTACCTAGTTGGGGTTTACGAGATGATAATAATCGATGATTAGAGACCCTGAATGACACGACTCAAAACCCCTTGCAATGGCGCAGGTGAATCCACTCTTTGTGTTCTCTCAAATCCTAACCTTCTGGGTTCTTCAACAACTCTAGTTTTGACTTTCTAAACGTTTCTCATTAAATCATACTTCTTGAATAATATCTTCTAATCCTAACCTCTCCGATTACTTCTAATACCTTTACTACCTCTACCAATGTTGGATTTCAATCGACAATTACATCTCTGTGTGCTAATGTGGTATGGCGACATGAACTGATGTACTTGCGTACGAAGTTCTACGTTGCATCGGACTGACTGACTGACTGACCTTTACCACCATGTGATTTGAGCTAACAATTTCGTCTCTGTGCTAATCTAGTATAGCAACTTGAACTAATGTACGTATACACGTATGAAGTTCTATGTTGTTTTGTAGCTGACGGACTGACATATAATTATTATTTTATCATTTAAAATACTTTTTTTTTACAATATTTCTTCATTTATTAATATTTTACAATTCCATATGAATGAGAAAAACAATTTCTTACCTGAATGGAATGTACATTAGATTATTATTATTTTTTCACAACAAAACCATCTACTACTACTATTTATGTTAATCTTACATTTGTGTCATTCAGAAAACAAATTGTTTATTAAATTCAGTGCATTACCATCACATTACATCACTTCACACAGAATGAGCTGTAGTAGTAGTTGTTGTTGTTCCTTCCTTCTCTATCTCTTCAACGTTGACTTGAACGACTTGTTTGTGAGTAAGAATGGCAGATCAATAGAGGAAGTTGTGAAACTTCATCAGTTGAGTTGGTTGGGACATATGTTGCGTATGCCTAACCACCGACTGCCTCGACGAGCGGTTGGACGGAAGCTAGGGGCAGCCAAACCAAAACATTGCAGAAATGCCTGAAGTTACTGACAAGAGGACTGAGTCTTGTCGGTAGTTGTCCGCGAGATGATAATAATCGATGGTTAGAGACACTGAATGACATGGCTCAAAACCGTTTGCAATGGCGCAGGTGCATTCATTCTTTGTGTTCTCTCAAATTCTAATTTTCTGGATTCTTCAACTCCTCTAGTTTTGTCTTTCTGAACTTTTCTCACTGAATTATACTTCTTGAATAATATCTTCTAATCCTAACCTTTCCGATTACTTCTAATACCTTTACTACCTCTACCAATGTTGGATTTGAATCGACAATTACATCTCTGTGTGCTAATGTGGTATGGCAACATGAACTGATGTACTTACATACGAAGTTCTACGTTGCATCTGACTGACTGATTTGTTTGTGGAAAACCCAGACCCAGACTTGGTTAATAATCGCTACACATTGATTGATTTTTGTATTCACTAAAGTACATATTACTACTTATGTTACTCTTACACAGTTCACTTCGTTCTCCTATATGGCTTTGAAACATGGCCGTTAAGAGTAGAAGATATTCGTAGGTTACTAGTATTCGATCATAGATGTTTAAGAAGCATTGCTCGTATATCCTGGGACAACCGAGTAAGCAATGCTGTCGTTAGGAAACGAGTACTAGGTAAGGATGGCAGATCAATAGATGAAGTGGTGAAACTTCATCAGTTGAGGTGGTTGGGACATGTGTTACGTATGTCTAACCACCGACTGCCTCGACGAGCTATGTTTTGTGGTGTAGGAGTAGGTTGGAAGAAAGCAAGGGGCGGCGGAAATCCTTGAAGTCACTGACAAGTGGACTGAATCATGTTCGTAGATTTAGGCTATCTGGTTGGGGTCCCCGAGACGATAGTCACCAATGGTTAGAGACCTTGAACGACATGGCTCAAAATCTTTTGCAATGGCGCAAATGCATCCATTCGTTAAGCTCATTCAAATCCTAATCTTCTGGATTCTTCAACACCTCTACGTTTGTCTTTCTAACCTTATCTCACTGAATTATACTTCTTGAATAATATCTTCAAACCCTAGTATTCTTCATTACCATTAATGCCTCTACTATCTCTATCACTATGGGATTTGATTTGACATTTTCGTCCCTGAGCTAATGTGGTATGGTAACCTGAACTTATGTACATACGTACAAAGTTCTACGTTGCAACTGACTGATTGACTCTTCTTACACTTGTTTTTGTACATTTAATATTTCTGAATAGGTTTCATAAGTGAGAATTTATGTAATACTAGTGTAGATTGTAGTTTCTGAAAAAATTATTAAATTATTAATGGCTTTTAATGGTACATAGAGAGAGAGAACACATATTTAGGTGTTGTTGTTATTGTTGTTCTTGTTTGGTAAAACATAATTTTTAATAATTATTTCTTTTTCTTATTTTTTAAATTATATTTCAAGCAACATTTTAACAATTTAAGTCAGTTTTTTGTATATTGTGCAGTGTTTTGTGTTACAATCAAATCAAAACAGTAGATTATATATATATAAATATATATATATATATATATATATATATATATTCATAGATGTTTATTTAGTAAAGTATGAATTGACTCATTCCATATCAGACGACATAAGTTTCAATATCTAATGTTATTATTGTTCGTGCTATGGTTTCATTCATTACGTATATTATATCGATTAGCTACGATTAACTGTATTAGTCAACAGTTGTTATGATTATTGGAATGTGATGCCCTAAACTATTAGTATAAGAGGGATTGATGAATAGTTAATGTTAATGAATAGTTACACAAGTTGAGTGTAACTCTGGCAATCGATTATTATGAGACTAATCCAATAGTGGGCATTCATTGTGCCTCCAACAAAGATCGAGAACAGGTTCGTCATTGTTTCACATGTAGCGGTTAATCTGTAAACCATTTAGTAGGCAGGCATTCAGTGAAGTTGACTTCTAACTTTGTTCTGTAATATTGTTCTACGATCTAGTTTAAGTGTGTGTGCACTATACAAACGCCCTCTTGAGAAGCACTTTAATTTTCTTTCAGTGTTATTTGAAAGGAACCTAGAGGCGACAAATCCATGTAATCACTAACAATTGGACTGAGTCATGTTGGTAGATGTAGGCTACCTGGTTAGGGTCCGCGAGACGAAAGTCACCAATGGTTAGAGACCTTAAACGATGTGGCTCAAAATCGTTTGAAATGGAGCAGGTGCATTCATTCTTTGTATTTTCTCGAATTCCAACCTCCTGAATTCCTCATCATCTTTATCTTTCTCTTTCTAAACTTATCTCATTGAACTATACTTCTTGAATAATATCTTCGATCCCTAATATTCTCTTCTACTATCTCCACCACTATGGGATGTAACCTGATAATAACGTCTCTGTGCGAATGTAGTAGGTTAACTTGAAATTACGTACTTACGGACATAGTTCTACGTTATACGTAACTGACTGTTATTTAATTGACTGGTTTCAAATTCGCTAAACAAAATACAGATGATACTTTTTTTGCGAAATTTTAATGGTTAGCAATCTTACTGGATGTGTATATTTGTTTATAACATAGTCTATGATGATACATAGAGCTACTTTGAATAACACTGGTTCAATTTTTCTACTTTGAAAATGATCCATATGACTAAAGATCTTTTAGTTCGATTCCCACTTGCGGAGTCGTAGATATACATTGCTAACAAGTCCACGTCGTTCAGTGCTTTCAGGTTTTCTCAATGATTGCTTTACACATTGATCGATATCGATTCAATTATCTAGTTAGCTAATTCAATTAATTGCATGTTACAATTATATCTCGTTACATTGAACTTTTGTATGCCAGTTCGGACGAATAAATAATTAAAATGTAATTAATAACTAGTATTTTCATTTTAGGTCAGATATTTTTCTCTACCCTTTATTGAAAAAATAAAAAAATAAAGTCAATGCCTGTTTTCTGCATGTTTCATTTAGTTGTTAGACTAGAACAAAAGAGTATAGAGAATTGAGAGGAGTAGTGGTCAAAGTGTAGTGGTTACTTTATTTTATGATTAAATCTAACTAAATATCTATTGATTTGTTCATTCGGTTCTATACGCAATAGATGATATCAGTGTTTGTTTGTTCATATCGAAAAAAGCCCCGTGAATAAATGAATATACGGTAGTTGTTAAACAGGCTGTTACATGGGATTTTTCAATTAGAGTTATGGAGATTAGTGTTTGTTGTACATTGAAATCATCAATCAATTATTGTTAGACCACACCATTAGAAACCTGGAAGTACTGGACGGCCGTTTCGTCCTGATATGGGACTCATCAGTGGTGCGCATCCATCCTTGCTTCAAAATTGTAATTGTTGTGATTCACGGAATTATTGCACAACTTCACCACCTCTTGTGTTGAAGTTGCGCAATACCTTAGATTTATCAACGTTAGACATTAACACCGTTGAATGCCGGCTCATTGATCTAGAGGTTAGGCGTGTAGGCGTGTGAGACCGAAGGTCCTAGGTCGTAGTTGCGCACCGCTGATGAGTCCCATATAGGTTTCTAATAATGGTCTAACAATGATCAATTCATTATCTAAATATAACATACAAGCTCTGACCAATAAATAGAGGAACACGCACAGTTTATCACTGATATGCTACAAATCTAAATCCCCACTGAATTTGCATTGAGAGTTAAGTAACAAATTATCCTTAGTAATTGTATAAATCAAGTATGATTTAAAGGAAAACACCATTCAATTTTCTTGTTGAATAATAAATTAGATTAACCATTTCTATTCATATTCAACTATATGGTCAAAAATTCATTCATTGCCCACGCTTATATTCTACTCTTATGTATATTATTATTATTATTATCATGGTTCACAAGAGGTAGAGGTGTATAGTAAATGTTATTCGTTATTTGGTTGTTGCCAATTTCTATGCCCGATTACCATGACATCAGAAATACACAATTCAATTCATCATATTGTCAAGTTATTGACTTAGATGGTTGGAATTGTACGTTCAATCATAAATATGAGGTAAATTATCAATCACATATGAGACTTAAATACACGCCAATGTTGAACTCATTTCCTAACGTGTTCAATAGTTCATTATTCTGTGTGTAGTGAGGATTCAAGTCATGTAGTACTCAATATCAAACAAAAAATCCGACATACACAATATATCGTATTTCAGTATATTAGAATACATCCTCGTTACTTACGCTTGTCACCCCCCAATGGAACATAGGCCACCGACCAGTATTCTCTAACTTACTCTATCCTGGACTTTCCTTTCCGGTTCCGTCCAATATTCATTCATCCCTTCTCATACCTTTCTCTATTTCTCGACGTAATATGTTTTTTGGCCTTCCTCTTTTCCTTTTACCTTGATCGTTCCAAATGAGGGTTTGTCTTGTGATGCAGTTGGGTGCTTTACGCAGCATCTGTCCTATCCCACTTCCAACGCTTCTTCTTGAATATCGATATAATTACTGTTTTTCTTGTATTATTCAAAGTCAAAGAACATTTCATGATATTAATCCCTTATCGATCTATAAAATGACAATGAAATAGCCAAGATTATTGTATTATGATGTCATTAAAGTTTATGCCTTTCTCTGTCTTATTTCTATAGCCGCATGTTGTAGAATCACATACAGTTCAAGTGACACATCATAATGTAAATCATGAAAATGCTGATCAATTTAATCGACTGACTGATTCAATGAATCAAAATGTAGTCATTGTTGTTAATACATTAGTAGAAACACCTACCACTACTACTATTACTAGCATTACTACAGATAATCATACAACGATGAATTCATTGAATGTTAAAGTTGATCAATCCATTGATTCAATAAATAATCAATCCAATAATGATAAGCATAACATTTCCAAATCAATGAATATTGTTGATAATGGTAATGGTAGTAGTAGTAGTGAGGATTATTCGAGAACAACAGGAAAGCATAGAACTAATCATCATCATCGACCACAACAAGTGCACAATCGTCGACATTCTTCATTCATTGATTATACAACAAATCATAATCATCATGATGTGAATGATGTCAATGAGGATATTGTACATTATACACCACCAGCAGCACGTCTATCACCGATGTCATTCAATGATGATAATGATGATGATGATGATCGTGGTACAGTGACTACAATTGATTCACATTTATCTAGTATTGCAGCACATGATGAAGAGTTGAATTATTCTCCGCCTATAAAACAAATTGATACAGATTCAAAGAATATCACTAAATCACCACCATATGCTTGTCTTGATATGCATGATGATGATGATGTTAATGATGAGAATCCAGATGAATGGGATTTAGATGTGGCCGATCGTGATCTATTGGCCACTGATGGTCTACTCTATTTAGATCGTAGTCATCCGGTACGAATAATTTTAATGATGTTTTAAATTTTCTATTTGTCTTTTGTGTAAAACCTCTGCAGTACTATAGTGTTGGGGATGTTACAGCCCCCAGAATTCACTTGATAAAGGTCCTAATTTTGGACTCTTTTTTGTGTTTTCGTGCATGGGCCGATCACAGTTGACCTTGAGATTGCATTTCCCACCTGGAAGATCCTTGGCTGTTATTGGTTGATGTGGTATTTTAGTGGCTCTCGATTTCTGTACTTTCTACGTCATATCAAGGCTTCTTCTACTACTTAGTGGGGCTTTGGGACGCTTGGATTAGAGTAGCCTATCGTGTCACTGGATCGTTAGTCTCCGCTCTTGTTTACCGACTAAGGTGAACTCGTAATAGCATTCAAGCATATCAATTGACGAGCATAACATATAGAAATGTATATGAATGTCTTTTTGACCTTGACTACTAGATGTCTGATTGGCTCTCTCTTCAGAGAGATATTTAATTTTTTTGGAATTTTTCGTAAACTGGAACAGAACACTTCATTCTGTTGTTATTGATTTCTCAAAGTTCATTAAGTGAATGTGATATCACAAACTATCCTTATACATCATATCTATATTTGTATGCTAGTTTCTACGTTGTGTATGATTGAATAATGTAGCTTCCGTTGAGTGGTTCTATTGAGAAGACTGAGGCAGGCTCAATAGATTGTATTTGGCAAATTTACACTCTTAGTCAATTAAAAACGATAACATTACATTGAACACTCCATTTGCACACCATCTTTGAGTCCTGACTTCCAACGCTCCAGCCTTCCTCCATTGTTGCTGTTGCTTCCTTCGCTTCCTGTCGGGGCTCTAAATCCTTTCTTGCTTTTGCTCTATTTGCTTTCCGTTTTCCCTCTTCTGCCGTACGAACATCTTCTTTCACGTCCATTCTTATACTACTTATATCGTTCGTATAAGTAGCACACACCACACTCGTCCCCCCTTTAACAAGTCGCTCTCTCAGCCTTTCTGATCTCCGTACAGCCGTCTTCTTTATCAG